GCGTCATAGACGCAAATGATGCAGACATCTTCTGCTGTAGGTGCTCTAGCAGCGCGTTAGACGCGCACCGATTGCCTCAGGGTCTTGCGCCACAAGGTGTTGCACGTCCTCAGGGCCAAGATAGGATATCATCTTGTTTAGCCCGTCCTGCATGCCCTGGGGCAAAGAGGAGAATTCCTCTTATCTCACAGAGGATCAGTCTAAACGACTCAGGAGTAGATTGGCTACAAGTGCTACCAAATGCAGCGGGGCTGCCATTGCTTAGCGCTCGAGAAAGCGCAATTTAGGTCACCGACCGTTCGTTATATACTTAGAATAAGTACGAGTTAGCAGATCGCAATCCGCTTACTCCATATGAGAAGTGTAGGGCAAATGAAGCTGTAGGGAAGAGCTGACCGAAGAGTCTTGAGTGGTAGAAGGATAAATTCCAAAGTGAATATCCTTTGGTACTTAGTTCACAAACGAGTTGCTACTTTAAGCCAATCAGTGAACAACACATACACTACACATAGGATATCATACCAGCATCGTACCAGCATCATACCAGTATCGTATCGTACTAACGTGCGTTCATATTTGGATAGACGAGGAGAACAAACACACACCACAGTGTACTTGTTATCCGTAATACTCCAAGAGTAATTATTGCCTTAATCCAAGGCTAATTACTCTTCCGTTTAGAGTTTTACACTGATTTTTATTTATTGTTATTTGCGACAAAGCCGTCTAAATTTAAATGTTCAGATTTTCCTAAATATACTAAATTTATATAGTAAAAAGCTAAATACATGCATAACTATTGGCTACCTAGCCACATACCGTATTCTTGTTTGGGTGCAGTAACACCATGCACATCTCGTGTGACCCCCCCTATTACCAGGGTACGCGTAACCCCGTTACAAGGTCTGCCATTTTGTACCTGATCCCTACACAAAAAATACACTTGTGTTATATACAATTAGTTACAGCCATTTGAAAATCACATTTGAATTGATGTTGCTGAGAATAAATAATGAGTTTGGAAAGTCGGGGCCTATGAAGATGGTGAAGCTCCTTAAATAATCTTATTAATATGTGTGCTGTTACGTGAACGTAAAAATGGCACTATATAATGAGTAATATAAAACGTATTGTTCTATTCATCAAATGGAAAAATACTTGTACGCTCTAGATAGAAAAAATAGTTTCTGTTATTTCAGAGGCGATCGGTTCCGCTCCTGGCACTTGCGCTCTAACCTATCCATTAACCATTTGCCAATGCGGGCTCCAAGAGTCTATGCTTTCTTTGCCCAAAGTGCACGGCAACTCTTTTGCAAAAAGCCCCCGGGCGACGCCTTAGGCACGTGGATCACCAGCTTTCTGATCCCCTTAGGGCCAGCAGTAGACACAAGCTTCCTGGGTGTGCCCAACTGCTCTTCAAATAATACTTAAATATTTCATGTTCCATCCTTACAGGGGATACAGTTCTTCACGACTCGATCGTCGACTTGATTACAAGGATCGCCACCGACAAAACTTTGAGTCAAAAGAGTCCGCGTATACTTCGCTCAGAGACTGATGTCGCCACCCAAAAGCAAAATTGAGAGACTCTGAAGTGCCAAAGTAATTTGCTCTGCCATTTCAAGAGTGATATATGATTGGTAATTATGTAATGAAGCTAAATCTAAGCATCTATTTTCCAGTAGTACACTTGTCTTTAATACCTGATACCCCACTCCAAATATTCACAATTGTACAAATGTGTGAAAACGTTTAATATTGTATTTGCAGAGGTCAAGGTAAACGTGCACAGTAGTATGGTGCTATGATTACTCACCCTTAGTGAGCCCCACATGTATCAGTAAAGTCTATAACGGTCACACGTCTCTCCTCGTTTGATATGCTCGACAGATTTCGATGCCACCGAGATTCAGAGCTTAAAAGAGTATAGCTTCGAGGAATGTAGTCATTTTTAGAACGGAGCAAATCTAATCAGGAAATTCTAAGAAAAAAAACGAATATAATCAATTTTTTATAATGTAGCTTGTCTTGTCGCCAAAAATTGGCGGGAAGACGTCCCGCATTGAAGCGCCTCATTATAATTGTCTTGATCATGAGTGGTAGTGAATTAGCACTGGAGACGCAGCTTTTGCTTCAAGAGGCGACGCACATTACGCAGCGTATGGCCGTCGAGTGCGTTTTGGAGAGTGCTAGCGCACAGCCAGTCGAGTCCGAGTTCGAATCCGCCAAAAGTGCGCTGCTAGAGAAATTGCGCCGAAAGAAAGAGGCCCAGCGCGCACAACATCAGCATTTGCATCAGCGGCGTCGCGAAGTCTCAGTAGCAAAGTCCACGACTAGTTGTAAAGCACTTAATCTGCCAGTTGCAGCCGCAACAACTACTGCCTCACGCAAGAAACTGGACTTGTTGTCAAAACTCCGGACACAAGCGATTCAGCAAGGTGCACAAACATTGGCTACGATGTTTGGTTATGCAACATATGAAGAGCATCATAAGGCATTAGATGAGCGCGACAGGGAGAAAGAAGTTGCAGAAGATAAGGAAGAGAAGGAAGAAAAAGAAGACCAAAGTGTTGAAATAGATCTTGTGGAGACTATTGAAGAAGATACACCGAAAGAAGTGTCGGTGGTGTCTGAAATTACGGATGCTATGGAGCTGCACCCAACAGAAGAAGTAAACGAGAGAGCTGAGGTGGATCAACAAAGCAATCGAATCCAGAAACAAGCGGATGTAGCTGAAGACGATGGCAACGAAGCCGACAGTGAACAGGATGAAAAAGATGAAATCGACGAGATGCAAGACCAACGTGCAATGGAAACGACGACATGTGGCCATGAGGCAAACACGAGAGACAAAGCTGCTGGGTATCGCAAGTTATTGCGTGCTGAGGCTATGCAAAACATGCGAGACAAACGTCGAGACAATTTTGTGGAATCGGAAGCTGAGGAAGAGGATGAAAAAGATGTTTTGAATATCGGTGGTCTTGGCGACTTTGGATTTGGAGTGCCTCAAGCCAAGACACAAGAGTCGAAAGAAGCGGAAGAAGAACGTAATGCATTAAAATTACGAAAAGATGATTTAGATCACATTGTGGATGAGCTTTCGGACGACGAACGCGCAGAAGAGCGAGATCTGGATGAAATCTTTCGTCGAGAACAGGAAGATGAAGATCGGCAACAGGTGAAAGAAGTGATGCGCAATGTCAAAGAAGGATTTGGTCGCAATCGCCGTGCATTTTCGAGTTTGCATGCGACTTCAGAAGCTCGTGGTCGTTTTAACTTGGATGAATTAGTAGCTGCTGATGGAAACAAATTTGAAGCTGCTCGCTTGGGATTGTTGGAATCTGATGAGGAAGTCAGTGATTTAGAGAATGGCAAAAAAAAGACGAGTAAAGATGACGATGAAAAGTATGAAGAAGAAGATGAAGAGGCGGAAATGGAACGGATGCTACGGGAACGATTTCAAAACCAGCCGAAAATTTACGTAACGTCCTCTGAATCAGGGAGTGATGATGAGAATGAAGACGATAGCAAGACAAATGACAGTAATGATGACGATTTCGATTCAGACGGAGAACGAGAGCGTCTGCAAATCAAACTTTTTTCGGAGCGTGCTCGTATCAATCGTCGAATGCAACGAATGAAAGATCTAAAACGTCAAATTGCACTCGAAAACGAGAAGGATGATCCAAATGTTAATTCCGATCAGGCAATGCCCAATTTTCTATTGGAAGATGACAAAGACTCGCAAGAAGTTATGCTCATGATGAACCGCACAGACGTCAATGTTTTTGGTCACAAACAGCCTTCGATATCAACGGTTGGCCGGCTCCACTCGTTTGGCACCCTCACGTCAGCATCGCAGAGCTCTTCGTCTTTTAGTCGCGTTATTGGACATTGCAAACTGTTTAGCACGGATTCGGTACGTCGGTTTCTGTTGCGGGTTCCTTTTTTGCAGTTGATATAATTTTTATATGTTGCACTCGCAGACTGGCGGTAGTACTTCGTCATCCAAGGGGTTCGTCTTCACTTCGTTTAGCAATGACAAATCTTTGGATACCAGAGACGAAAATGCTGCACCAAATCATGAAACGACGCCCCGTGTGGATGGTCGCATCAGCGCAGCAACAAAGCGTCGCACTAAACCGACTGCTGCCGGCAATGCACGCAACAAGAAACACAAGAGTAGCGACCTTTACTCAGTATTATCTGCATATCAATGCGTTTCGAGCACTAATCATGGGTCATAAGTGTGAAAATTTAAATTTTTCTTAGTAATTTTTAGTACTCTGTCATAATTAAGTAAACTCATCATAAGATTAAATTTTACTGTAGAGTAACCTCGATATCTGATGTAGAAGCCGGTGGGTGCAAGGGCCAACAATTTTTTTAATTTGCGACATAGTGCTACTATCATTATCAATATCTCGAGAAACTCTTAAGATGGACTTCCGCTTTAACTTTCGCGCCGGCACGACGCACGTTCTTAAAGCATCGGCTGCTCGGTACAATGGCAAATACTAACGTACCTGATCTGATTTTAGCAATAACTACAGTATATTGCTTATAAATTCAATACAACATTGCCCCGCTTATCTTCTGTGATCCGCATAAAACGCTTTCCTCGCAAACCTAACGTCGACAGGTTTGCATTAATTGGAATTCTTGACAGACTGAGAGCTCTTTCTTGATTCTATGGGTGGTGGTGCATGGCCGTTCTTAGTTGGTGGAGTGATTTGTCTGGTTAATTCCGTTAACGAACGAGACCTCCGCGTGCTAAATAGTTCCGCTTACCATTTTTGGTAGGTTTGTGGACTTCTTAGAGGGACTTTGGGTAATCAAACCAAAGGAAGTTGGAGGCAATAACAGACCTGTGATGCCCTTAGATGTTCTGGGCCGCACGCGCGCTACACTGATGCGTTCAACGAGTATCTAACCTTGATCGATAGGTCTGGACCACTACTGGTGGTCCAAACTATACGAATGGACGAACACATATGTGCGTATGCCAAAGGGTGAAACCCTTTCCGAATGCGGCGGTGCCGCTGGCCAGTCTGCTGGTACTCTCCTGGCAGTCTACGAGTTTGGACTTTGTGTTTGGCCTGCCGTACTCCGTGGGCAACACGGGTACGTGACCTTCGTCCACTGTTTGAGCAAGATGACTCAACTTGCGGCGGTGCTAGACATCATCGACGGTGTGGGTACAGCGACGCTGTTTGTGGATCGTGTCGTTCGACAGCATGAACTCCCGGTGTCAATTGGCTCTGACAGATACCACCGCTTCACTGAGAAGTATTGGTCGACGATCTTTAAGGTGCTGGGCACCAAGTGGACTATGTGAACAGCGGGTCATCCGCAGACCGATGGTCAAACTAAGCCAGTGATTCGCGTTGGTGAAGACGTTCTTTGCAGCGGCTGTGCTGAGACGCCGAGGTGCTGGAGCGCCATTCTGTTACTTGTGGAGTTCGCACTGAACAATGCAGTGCATTCATTTACTGGCCAAACGCTGTTCTACGTGAACGGACTCGTTCAGCTTCGCGTCTCGCTGACGCCGTCATCTCATGTCAGGGGTTTGGTGGAGGAGGAATAGCCAAGTGGCTAGTAGATGTCAGCCCACTCATTGATCGTAAAGCAGTCGATGACTTCTTGCCTTCCAGACTGAGTATCTTACGTCACGTTTGCGATGCGATGGCTGAAACCGAAAACATGCAGAAAGAATATGGAGGTGGAAGTAGCAGAAAAGTGTTGAAAACGTTGTGGTCGAAGATCGGGTTTATTAAATGCTAAAATCTTCCTTCACATGCAGTTTCTTCTGGCTTGTGGACTAAGCTCAGTCCACGTTTATCGGACCTTAAAAGGCCGTGGCCAAGCGAGGTGATACGTATGCACTAAACCTCCTGAAACGACGCGCACCCACCCGTTGTTTTATGTGGGCTTGATTAAGCCACACCGGGATCCGGCGCAAGTGAACGCAAAAGGCGTTGGTGTTGGGGCGACGCCAACATGCGCTCGACCACCCAGAAGCTGAATTAGCAACTTGGTTTTAGTATATAATGCAACGAACTCCTTCTCCAACGGCACCAGGCCCTTCACCATCGCACGAAGTGACGTGTTCGTCTGATCGACGGCTAGGAGCCGCTTCGACATAGATCGATAGTCTTCAACGTGAGGCAGTCGGGTGGGTGCACTAAGTGCTCGAAGCTCTCGAGGGTTTTTGCGCAGCGGTATGCGACCTCAGCATGATGCTCAGCGGAGTCCCAATCCTGACGAGCCTTGTCCTTAAGAGCTCAACAAGCATCGCGAGTCACCGGCGGCGATCGACCAAGTCGCCATCGTCCGCCGCAGACTCTTCACGACAGAAACAATGGCGTCTACTATCAAGTAAAAGGTATTGTGGGTCGACGTCGTCGACGGGGCCAAAACCAATATCTTGTGAAGTGGCGAAGATACCTAGCCTTCGAGATCTCGTGGGAGTTTCGAGGTGCCACTTCGGCGGGACGGCTCAGTGGACACCTCTTATGATCAGAGGTATCATGACGTTCCGCGTCGTTGTACGTTCTGCGCTTCTCGGCAATAGCCATGGAAGCCGAAGGGCCATGAGCTCAATCTAAGACACTAAGCTGCTGTGGCTGCAGACTCACCCGTGTGAGAGACCACAGAGCTTGTGAGAGCGCAATAAATTAATCTATAAGTCGCAGGGCAAATGATGTCGGTGTTACACCTTGAGTTTGGCAAACTCAAACTGACGATGGCATTCCACGCGCACGTCAACATCCTTGTGGCTCTGCTGTAAGTTAGACTGCGAGGAAAGTTTCCACTGCCGCTGCACCCATCGCTCAGAGAGTTTATTATCGTCTGCAGCGGTTTTGCCAGCGGCGAGTACCACAGGAATCGTCCGCATCGCGTGTACAGGAGCGCCTCCTCATTCAGCGCAAAGTTGAACCTATCCATTGGGAATTCTGAGGTACCAAGAAGCGAGCTCGGAGAGAATTTCGTTTGTCTATCAGCTTGTGTAGTGACCGGGGACCCGATCACATAGACGTTCAGCGATTCAGTGTTCTCGTCTTTCGCTTGTAGTGGGATCCCCCGAGCGGAAGCCATATTCCTCACGAGTGT